CCCCCCCCCCCCCCCCGGGGTGGTGGAGGTGGGTGGAGGCCTGAGGCCTGCGGTGGGCGCGGCCTGGGGTGGGGAGAGCCCGGGGAGACCCCAGGGAGACCCCAGGGAGGCTGCAGGGAGACCCCAGGGAGGTCCCAGAGAGACCCCAGGTCTGGCTCCATGGAACCCCAGGGAGACCCCCAAGGAGGTCCCAGGGAGAGCCCCAGGTCTGCTCCATGGAGATCCTAGGGAGACCCTAGGCCTGCCCCAATGGAGACCCCAGGGAGACCCCAGGGAGACCCCCAGGCCTGCTCCATGGAGACCCCAGGGAGACCCCAGCCTGCCCCATGGAGACCCCAGGCAGGTCCTGTGCCAGCCCCAGGGCTCTTCAGGACAGCCCAGCTGCTCCAATGAACCCCACACTGAAACCCCAGGGTGTCCCCATGCTGGGCCAGCCCAGAGCCCCCTCAGGCACCCAAGGGTGCTGCCCAGCACCCCTACCTGCCTACCCAGGCTGTCACGGGTGGGATATAGAAGCTGAGAGTCCTTGGGAGGGGCAAACATCAGGTGGCAAACATCTGCCTGAGCGAGCCTTGAGGTGTCCCTGGAGGTGACAGGGAGCTTGGGAGCCAGCCCCAGGGTGACACTGCTCCAGGAGCCACCCCACAGCTCCTTCCCAAGGTCTCCAAGCTCTAACATTCCCTCTCTCCCTCCAGCCCAGCACCATGGATGCCCTGCACGTGGCTGGGATCCGCTTTGCTGAGGTGCTGCAGTCAGGGCCACCCTGGCTGGAGAAGTTCTGGATCTCCATCACTTCCCTGGCTGATCCCAAATGTATCTACACCACCTGCTTCCCTCTTGCCTATTTTCTGGACCCCAAGGTGGGGGTGTCTGTGCTGTGGACTGGGTTGGTGGCTGAATGGCTCAACGTGGTCCTCAAATGGTGAGGGGAAGAGCAGGGGGTTTGTGGGGTCCCTGTCCCACCTGGGGACACCCTGAGGGCTGAGAGCAGAATCAAAGGAGGTCCCAAGAGCAGAACCACAACCCTAGTGGGCTCTGGAGACCCCTCCTGTGGTGAAAGAACATGGAGTGGCTGCAGGTCACCCAAGCTGCAGATCTTGGAAATGGGGGTGTTCAGCCTGGAGGAGAGAAGGCTCCAGGGAGACCTTAGAGCAGCTTCCAGTGCCTGAAGGGGCTCCAGGAAAGCTGGGGAGGGACTTGGGACAAGGGCAGGGAGGGATGGGATGAGGGGGATGGATGAAAACTGGGAGAGGGAGATTTAGGTGAGACATGAGGAGGAAATTCTTTGGTGTGAGGGTGGTGAGACCCTGGCCCAGATTGCCCAGGGAAGCTGTGGCTGCCCCATCCCTGGCAGTGTTGAAGGGCAGGTTGGATGGGGCTTGGAGCAACCTGGGCTGGTGGGAGGTGTCCCTGCCCATGCAGGGGGTTGGATCTAGATGATCTTTAAGGTCCCTTCCCACCCAAACTATTCCATGCTTATCTGCCCAGTGTCCATGGCACAAACCCCTGGGAACTGGCAGGATCCCGCCCTCCCACTGCAGCCTGAGTCCTCGGGTCCCTGGGGATCCCACCAGCCCGTGTTGAGCCCCTTTCCCTGTGGGTTTCTCTCCCCTCCAGGTTCCTCTTTGGGGAGCGCCCCTTCTGGTGGCTGCACGAGTCGGGGCTGGGCGGGCAGGGGCTGCTCACGCTGCGCCAGTTCCCGGTGTCCTGCGAAACGGGACCGGGTGAGTAACTGGGGGAGGGATTAAAAAAAAAACAACAACCCCAAAATTTTGCCAGACGTTTCCTGCCAGTCCTGGGATCCTCAGGGAAGGGCTGCAGAGGCTGGGAAGCGCTGTCCAGGATGGGAATGCTGCTCTGGAGGCTGCCGAGGCTCGGGCAGGATGTGGGGAGTGGAAAAGCTGCTGGTCGG